TACTACTTCTTTGGAGAAATGTCTGCTCAAATCTTTTGCTCAGTCTTTTTTTAAAAATTGGATTGTCTTTTTATTGTTGATTTGTTCATTTTAAAAATATATTCTAGATACTATCCCTTAATCAGATAGTGTGTTTTGAAAGCTTCTTTTTTGAAGTACTAGAAATGAGAAGGACCTGAATCATACTACTTTTCTTCTACACCACTATTCCCTGCACATATTATCTGATGAAGGGAATAGGAAAGACTTAAACTTCCAATTTATAAATACCCTAGGGCTACTGGACAGCAGTATTTGGTATTTGCTAAAAAAACTCATAAGACTATTTTTATCTCCACTCCAAGCACCCAACCATCACTAGGGCTTTGAGGAAAGCTACATCTGGAGAAATGACTGTCCTACAAACAGCTTTTGGCCCCCCAGGCTCTGCACCTCCCAAAGCCCTGTTCTGGTCCACCAGATTCCTGGAATGGTCAACAGTCGTCACACTCCATTGCTGGCCATTGTCCATTGGGAAAGGTAGGAGGCTCCCAATCCATCCCTCAGTAAAAGAGCAAATAGTGGGGCCTGTGGCTGCTTGGACATCAAAGTTGAGCAAACAGGCCTGGCAGACCCTGCTTCTCCGCCTACACATCCTGCAAATGCCATCTGAAGGAGCTTCCCCAAGGGGATCATGACTTTCAGCTTGTCATAGCATACATCAAAGTTTGCACCACACACGAACTGGGTGCCTGGGTTCGAATCAAGTCGCCCGAGAGCGGATACTCAGTCATTGTGTTCAGTTTTAATCCTGTGTTTTCCCAAGTAATTAAGCCTTCTTGCTTATGAACTTGTGACTAAGTAAAGCATCACTGAGAGGTTGTAACATCAAAGTGCCTTCCACCGTCTGTCCATGTTTAGTAAAATTGGATTTCTTTCTCTTCTTAAAAAAAGACTAATTGAATTTAGCTGAAGGCTGGGTATATTTGCACTAGCCAGTGAAGGCTATGCTAAGTCACAGTGATCATCCTGGGACCCTATGGCTTAGCCTTTAGCTAGGGTAGGTCAAAGTGCAACACAGAATGAGGCACCCAGACTCAGGCTAAACAAGTGCCTTGTGGCATGAGGCTTATGGAGGGCTCACTGTGGAGAAAGGGGCCAGGCCTCAATGACTGCTGCTTGAGTCAATATTACACCCAAGCTGTTCCTGGGGCTGGCAAAAGGGCTGTCCTAGTAGATTGTTGGAAAATCTTTGGCAGAATGGTTACTGAGGACAATGGCCACATTACTCCAGTCCTTGATGTCAGTAGTCGAAGTAAGCTTCTTAGGGCAAAGGCTATGGTTGCTTATTCTCTGAAAGCCCCATGGCCAAGCACATCAGCATCTGACACAGGATAGTTCTAAAAAATGTTTGCTGGATGCATAAGATAATATAAAAGATGTCAGAACAAAGTTCTGACCAAAACTCTGTAAGCCTTTTTTGTCTTGTCAGGAAACTTCAATGTAGATTAATATTCAGTTTCTCTATCTAATTTATAGTGAGTACAGCATAGTACCATTTACATGAAATTATAATGCATATCCATAATATGCATTATCAATGTCTAGAAAGACTGAATTCAGGTGACTATCACTTTCTTCTCTATACCGTTTTTACAAAAACAATGAACATATTTTTGGAAAAGAAAACCTCTTGTTCAATCCTGATACAATTATCTTTCCTTTTACCAATACAATTTCTGATCTTCATCCAGTTTTAACTCTCTTGTGTATATTTCTATTTCTATTTAAGTCACTTCAAACTCTCTTTAGAAATAAAAGGGAATATATTGTAAGTTGTTTCTGCGTTTTTAAAAATTGACTATTCAAAACTAAATAAAATAACAAATACATAAAGAAATAAAGTTTGTAAAAAGTTAATCTTAAAGATCTGAGGATATTGTATTTTATATCCTTAAGGACTTAAAACATTAAGCAGGAACATGAGGGTGAGGTGACTGGGCTACTCTTGGAGTCTCTCTTTGAACTCAGGGACTGACAACATTCTAAATGAGGTAAAGGTTTTCTGCTTTCAGCCTCAAATCAAGGGGTGCTACCCTTCTGTCTTCCCTTCATCCAAACCCAATTCAAAAGCCGGTGGCATTTCAGGTCTGGCCAATGTGATTCCAGAATGATTTGGGGATTTACTGGGGAGAATCAGTACAATTCTAACAAGGAAAAACAATAGTATGGGCCTACACACCCTGAACAATGTACTCCTGATACTCCCCTTTTCACAAGTTCTACATTTCCCTTTTTCCATAGTACTTCTTAACAGTTTCATGTCTTAAACAGTTTAATTCTGTATTATACCTATTGTTTATTGTCTGCTCATGCCTCACTCCACCCAAGAACCACAACCAACAGACAAATGAGCTCTGTGTTGGCAAGGATTTTGTCTGTTTATCACTGATGTTATTTCAAGTACCTACAACAGTACTTAATAGTAGGGGCCCCCAAAAGTTTTGTGATATGAATAAATAGATTCAACCCAAGAGCAGATGAGGTAGTTCAGTGGTAGAGCTCTTGCCCAGCATGTTTGAGGCTCTGGGTTGGATCCTCAGCACCACATAAGGACAAATAAATAAAATAAAGGCATTGTATCTATCTATAACTACAAAAAAAATTTAAAAATTCAACCCAAGAATATGCTCAGTTCAATAAAACTTTGCTCTCCTTGAATACTGGAAGAAAAGGAGGGCACAAAGTGCTTTAAAAATTAGTTATTTGTTCTAGGAACCAAAGCAAATAAATATAAGCCAACGCTCTCACTTTGCTCAACAAGCATCACTGATTTGCTAATGCTCCTGGATAAAGACAGAGCAATCAGTTAAACCAACAACTCATTAGATTCAGAGAGAAGTGTCCCCAAAAGCACATCTACTAGTTATCTGATCACTAATTGACAGTACTCTTAAGTGTATTGTTATTTCCTATTCAGTCTCAACTCTGAAAATACTATACCCAGAAGGGAACATATCTCCTCCTTTATCACCAGCTACTCCTTGTAGATGGAGACATCTGAAAGCTAGGGAAGAGGACTGGTGACTAGGGTGGAGAATGAGTGATGGAGAATAGACTTGTGTAGACAAGTCTAACATAGCAATAACACTGCACCGTTTATAATCTGTAGCACACAAATTACCTAATGTAATTCTTTTTTTTTTTTTTTTTTTTTTTTTTGTGGTACCAGGGATCGAACCTAGGGCTTTGTACATGCAAGGCAAGCATTCTACCAACAAGCTATATCCCCAGCCCATCTAATGTAATTCTTAAAAGAACACAGTGAGATTCTACTCTGCTGACAAAGAAAGTCGCTTTACTTCCATTTCTTTTTCCACTTTAGACTGTGAGCTCTCCAAGGTCTCTGATTATCCAAAGACCTAGCACAAGGCCTGACTCAGACAGACATTTACTAAATGTTTGTAGAATTAATGTATTGTGGGCAAACAGGTATCCATGTAGTTCTGAAATTCAACTGAGGATCAGATCAAGACTGGATTTCAGGTCTCTCAACCACAGAGCCTTTTTGTATCAATTATCTTTTTTCCACTTTTTGAGTGTGAGTGTGTGTGTGTGTGGGGGGTGCTGGGGATTGATCCCAGGGCCTTGAGCATGTGAGGCATGTGCTCTACCACTGAGCTATACCTCCAGCATATACCAATTATCTTTTAAAGAAAAAGTGAGTGCTTGGAGCTAAAGACAGCAAATAAGGAAACGGAGTGACTGAGAACAAGTTCATGATAAAGAAATAGTGAAATAAATCTATTTCAAGAACAGCTAAGTTTCTTGGATAATCTGAGACAGTTCACCCCTATACTCTTAAATTCAAGTTTTGCAGCTTTCCTCCCTATTTAGGACCCTTTCAAAGGTGGCTGATATTGGCAGAAAAAGGCCTGAAAAACCTTGAAGGGAGAATTAAAATTGGTACCCCCAATTATGAATTTCAGTGGCTGCTACTAAAGTGCTCAGTCTGTTTCCTTTGAAAGCATCCCTTTTTGAACATTTAAAAATAATTTTTGTTTTGAGATAGGGTCTAAGTTGCCCAGGCTGCCCTAGAACTTGGAATTCTCTGGCCCCCAGCTTCCCAAGTAGCTGGGACTACAGGTGTGCACCACTGTGCCCAGCACTTTTTGTACTTAATTCCTTTGCACAATCATAGCTACAGTGAATGTAGACTTCATGCCATCAGAATTATATCAACCCTGGGGCAAAAATCAGAACAAATTGGGATGGAAAGGCAGTGTCCAGCAATAGTCTGTGCTGTGGCATGAAGAAACAGCAGTGAGATAAAGTACACAACACCTATCTTGCAAGCCATGGGGCCAGGTTCTAAGACCTGTCTGTATGACTTCCAACAAATCACTTTTTCTCTTTGGGCTCAGTTTTCTCAGTTTGGAGATGAGTATAACAATACATATTCTGTGGGGTAGCTGTGAAAATTAGAGATAACTCCTGATGCAAGATGCACCACTTTTGATTTTTACACAATACCTACAACCCTAAAGGAATGGGCATAGGTGGAAAGTAGCACAACCTTAAATAGGAGGGAAGGAAGGCCCCCACATTTCCTAGTTTCCAACAGAACCTCTAAAGAAAAAGCACCTAGTGGAGCCATTGCTAGAGAAAGTGTCTGCCAGCTTCTTAACATGGATAGTCTATAGACAGTAAGAACATGATGATAACCAACACATATACACTTAACCATTTACAACAGGCTTTTAAACATCTGGATGCCAGGACAATGCAAATGACCTTGCCTAAGGTCACAAAGCCAATTAATAATGGAATCAAGATCCAAAGTCACACCTTCCCTTTCCACATCCACTATCCAATCCAATGCACCAGGTAAAGTATGGAACCTGAGACTCAATCATGTCCCTGCCTCTGGAGAACACAGCAAGGGGAAGGCAAGGGTGAGAGAGTGGTCAGGAACATAGCTTGCAAAGAGCTAGGGAGGCTGTGTGGAGGGAGATTCTTACCTGTCATTTCGGTTGATGGCTGCCACCATGAGTGCTGTCCAGCCAAGTTTGTGCCTCGTGTTGACATCTGCACCTTCTGCTAATAGCCTGAAAAGAGGCAGAGAAAATTTTTCACAAACATGGCCTGTGGACTCTTTCTTGGGAAGCTTTCTTTGACTCACCTGGGCTACAGCTCTGCCTCCTTCCCCTTAATTTCACTTTGCCTAACTTAGAATGCCTACCCATGTGTCTTATTTAGGTGATTCCCAGTTTACAAATGGATCACATTTCTCAAGTTTATCTGTATTGTGGCTGTTTGGAAACTGCAAATCTTTCAGCCTGAGGAAAGATGGGAAGAACATTAGAAATGCTAGATCAGGTTCCTAGGAAAGCCCACAGAGATCTTATTTTAATCTATGCATCAGCACCTGGCATATAGGAGGAGCTCACTAATTGTCAAGTAAATTAACAAACCCAGGGTTTTAAAGTATACCACTAAAAATCTGAATTCTGGGTCCCCAAAACAGGAGGCCCTGTGGTATGGGGTAGAGATGGGGAATATACAGAACCATTGATTACTCAGCACCCAGCAGGAGCAGGAACTGCCCCAGGCACTCTATACTTATGAGTTCCTTGCTCTCCACATAAGCTTAAGGAGGGTAAAATAGTATTATTTTTCATGGATAAAGAAACACTCAGTGAGGGAAAAAAATCACTCAAGGTCGCACAGCTAGTTTAGGGGCAAGTCAGTGACTGAAATCCAGGTTGGTAATGACTTTATAAGTGGACTCCTTCTGAACAAATCCCTTACCACCCTTTCTCCAAAGACATGTTGGCTCCAAGAAACAAGAATGGCAAAGCCTAAATTGCTTTCAACAAACCAATGGCATGTGCTTTGCTCCTGTGCTGAATTCTGGATCCAAGTGAGGTGAAGACATGGGGTATGCTCTAGGGAAGCATACAAGCTAGTGAAGGGAGGACTCAGGATAGCAGGAAATCAAGGACTAGCACCAGCAGAGGAAGAGACTGAAAATTGAGACTATGATTCACCCATCAGGCAGGATGTCCTTATGAGGGACTAGTAAAAGAGGGTTAAGGGAGCTGAGAGGCTGTCTACACTGCAGTGGGTCTAGCCAAATGGGCACTTGGCAGAGCCCAGAGGCTTTGGTCTGAGTCCTAGCACCATTCTTATTCCACAGTCTGTAGTAAATGCTCCTCTGGACCAAGCCAAATAAAATGTCTATGCAGCTAAAGTAATCAAGCAAACAAGGCTTGGAAGGATGGTAAGAAACACTATGTATCTGTCCACTCATTCAGCTCTGAGGGCCATGTGTCCTGATGCAGTGACTGAGACAGGTATTGTTACGGCCTGAGAGGGAGACAGCCCACCAAGCACAGACTACGCATGTCAAGAGTGCTACGAATGGGGTCTAGAAGTTGTAGGAGCACAACAAGGGAACCCACCCAGCCCTGGTGACCAGAAGACCTCTCAGGGGAGGTGATGATAAAGGGGAATTAGCCACATAAAACAGGATTAGGTGTTCCAGGCAGAGGTGCAGCCTGTTCACTCAGAGAGCAAGGCCAGGGGTATATGAGGTCCTACAAGAGATGTGGTACACCTGGAACCCAAACTGTGAGGGAATAGTTACAGGAGGTGGAGAAACCCTCACCTCTCACCTCTGGTTTGGGGATTTCTTTAGATGAAGACCTGGAGCCTTATACCACATACTGTTAAACTTCTTTTATGAGGAAACAATTTCCAGTAGCAGTAGATGTTAATTAGGCTAAGAATCCTGGGGATGAATTTTCTGTGAGACAAAATCTAAAACTCCCTCTTCCTAGGTCAGCAGACCACATGGTACCATGGAAGTGTGTGGTTCTGAAGCTTCAGAGTCTGGGCAGAGTTCTGATCCTAATTATAATGTTGTAGAAGGCCTCACTTCTCTGGTCCAGAAAGGGTCAGAAAATCAGGGCAGGCTGAAGAAAAAAAGAGGTTTCTGAGCTGAAAGACTAGAACTCTGCTGAAAAGAATGGGAGAGTGTAGGGAAGAGGGAGGCAAGTAATACCAGTCAAGGCAAAAGGAACAGGATGTGATAGAGAAGCAGGGAATGGACGGACATTCAATGACCAGCAGACAGATCCATCTGGATGACAGGTCACAGCAGAGAAGCAGACAGCTGCTGAGGCAAGCAGAGCAGTCACAGGTCCTCAAACACTGGTCTAGGTTGGGCAGCCAACATAAACCTTTTTGAGTTGTGAACTCTTTTGAGAATATGATCAAATTTCTCTACAAAATAGGTGCATAGGAGCACACACACATTCAAATATTATTATTTTACACATAACATCCAGGGGTACAAGCCCCCATGAAGTCAATATTGGGGCCTAAGATAAAAATGCAGTCTAAAGCATTGATAAATGCCTGGCAAGCATACTGCTGTCCAACATCCTGAATCTAAGACAGGAAATCACAAATCTCCCCTAGCAGCCATTTCTTGTGGAGTCACTGAAAGAGCTTCAGAATCTTCCTCAACACAGGTCCCAGTTACCACTGCTCAACTGAAGCTGGCAATAAAGAAGAAACCCATTTGTCATTCTTTAGCCTTTTACTAAAGACAATGAGGCTGTCATTCAAGATTTTTGGGCAAAATTAATAACAAAATTAACCTAATAACTTAAGCAGGCTGCATTTGAAAGGGAGTGAATAGCCAGGTGTGGTAACACACTCCGGTTATCCTGTGATCTCAGCAAATTTGGACGCTGAAGCAGGAGAATTGCCAAGTTCAAGGCCAGTCTCAGCAACTTAGCTAGATCTCAAAATAAAAAAAATACAAAGGTCTGGGGATGTATTCCAGTAGGTAGAGAGTCCCTGGGTTCCATCCCCAATAGCACAAAAATTAAAAAAAAAAAAAAATGAAAGGGGATGAATAGAAAATGAGGAAAAGGGGACGAGTATAATTCACCAAATATTTCCTTGCTGCTGTCCCAAGGATACCCACTCAGGTAGCCACCATCTCCCAGCCACCAAAAACAATGCTCAAAGCACATTCTCTTACATGTCCCCTTTGGAACTGTGTATTTCCTTAGGACATGTACTGGGAGTGGGATCCCTAGGTCATAGGCTGTGTGAGTACTTAATGTGGCTAAATAGTGCTAGAGTCCTCTACAGGATAGCTGCTGCATCTGCCCTCCCACTATCAGGAAGGGGTATTCCTGTACACACTCTCCCTGCCAATACTTAGCAGTAGCCAATCCCAGTCTTAATGTGTACAAAAGGTATTACATTATTGTTTTAATTTGTGATGATCACCAGGAATTTTGTGCTACTGATATGAATATTTGTGTTTAGAGGCTTTCTTTTCTGTACATTGCAGGGTTTTCTTTTTCTTTTTTTTTAAAAAAAGGGATAGCTGGCAGAGGCAGCTTCCCTCAAATTGCTAGCATTTCAATGAAAGAACACAGGGGAGAGTCAGGAGGCTTAGGTTCTAGTTTCAGCTCTGCCACCTATCATTCTAATAGCCTAATCAGGTGTATCATCTTGCCAAGCTTCAGTCTCTTCATAGATGCACTGAGGATCACAATCCCTGTCAAATCCACATGAGTTTTGGGAAACAGCACTGAAAAACTCAGAAAAGAGCTCTATAAACTTGTGAGGTCATTCACAGAAGGCAAACCATGGTCTTCTTCAGTAAGACTCCGGCTTCCAAACCCTGCCCAGGTTCCTGGCTGAGCATCATTCTTTGCAACATTTTGGGCTTGAGATTTGATGGAAAAAATCAACAACCCTGGAGTTCAAGGGCTGGAGTCCAGATTCTGGCTCTGTCACTTACTAGCTATGAAATAGGAGACTTGTGTAAGATGTTTGTCAGGATTGAGAGACACCACAGAGATACCACATGGTAGAACTCTGTAAGGAGTGGTGCACCTGACAAACTGAGGGAAGACCAGAGCTAACGTTACCACCATCACAGCAACTTTTCCTCTTACAGAGCAGGGTAGGCCCTTCCCCTCTTTCCCCTCTGTGTAGAGCAGCCCAAAAAGTTAGAATTTCACAATCCAGGTCTCCCCCATTTCACTGGTTGCTTTGCAAGTGAATGCCCAGCGGGCAGTCATTTCAAAGTCCCAGGCAGCTGGGGGCTGGCTGCCTGCTGAGCATGGCTGAAAGGCCTCTGAGGCCTAAGAAAGCCACCCTTGCTCTCCCCTGTGATTTTCACCAATGGACAAAATGCGGCAAGTGAATTAATCTCTTTTAAAAAGAGCAATGCTTGTGACAGAGCACGGTGTCTCCGAAAAGGTTAGGATTCCATCATCCCTGAGATGATGAGTAGAATGCTTAATGCAGGCTGCCACTCAGGGCAGAACAGCCTGGGCTGGGCTGGGAGTGGGGGTGGACACAGCAGGCCTTTCTGGGCTGACTCCACACTTGTGGAAGGCCCTTCCCTAATGAACTAGCTCTCCTGCTTGGCAGGGCAGTGGAGGGTGAAACTCACTGGAGGTGGCTTCAAGAGAGCACAGGAAACCACAGAAGAAATCCAGAGGTGGATCCCAGCTTTTGCTTACCTCTCAGGCAGTAACATAGGGAAGATCTTTGAAAGAGCAAATTGAGACTCTGCCACTTACTACATGAGAAGCCATGGGACAAATGAGTGACCTACCCAATCTGAACTGCACTCTGTTCCCTTGTGTAACTGATAGCTACTGATCCCTGAGCCTGTTTCCACATCTATTAAAAAATGGAGATGATCCCACTAGTCTTACTACATGTCATATTAGGGTGCCATGAAGAGTGGATGAGACAAAATGTTTGAAAACACGTGGTATGCAATAAAGCACTGTACAAATAGAAGAGCCCATACCATTACCATTTTCCAGTTGGGGTTTACACCATCTTAAAGAAGAGACGGGGGGGCTGGGGTTATGGCTCAGCAGTAGACTGCTCACCTTGCACGTGCAAGACCCTGGGTTGGATCCTCAGTACCACATAAAAATAAATAAAGTTGAAAAAAAAAAAAAGAAGAAGAGGAGATAGGGTAAACTGAATAATATACAAAAGAACTTGGAATACAGTGCAAGCTGGAACTTATCTGTGGATGGAGAACCATCTAAAA